GCCCTACCCGGGGGAAGTGATCAAAGAGCGGGCATCAGAGTCCATGTCAGAGACAGACCCTGCTCTCCTTACTAGGGAACTCACATGGAGACTGAGCTGCCATGGGCTACATCTGAGCAGGAGGTCTAGGTCCTCTCTATGAATGGTCATTGTTTGGTGCATCATTCTCTGCAGTCCCCATCCTCCAGGCTCAGATTTGTTGGCTTTTTTGGTCTCCTTGTGGAGCTCCTGTCACCTCCAGGTCCTTCTTACTCCTCACACTTCCATAGGACTTCCAGCGCTCTGCCCAAAATTTGACTGTGGGTTTTTGCATCTGCTTTGATCCCCTGTTGGGTGGAGTCTTTCAGAAGACGGCTGTGGTAGGATGTCTTTCTGTTCCCTAATGATTGAAGAATCATTTCCAGTGTCTATTCTATTTGCCTTCCTGAATGATAATTTAGCATTCTCCCTAGGGTCCTCCTTGTTATGTATCTTCTTTAGGTCTGTGGATTGTAGTATGGTTTCCTTGAATTAAATGACTTATAAGTGAATATATACCATGTGTTTCTTTCTGGGTCTTGGTTACCTCACTTAAGATGATCTTTCCTAATTTCATCCATTTGCCTGCAAATTTCATGATTGCTTTGTTTTTAATAGCTGAGTAGTATTCAATTGTGTAAATGTACTACAATTTCTGTATCCATTCTTTGGTTGAGGGACATCTAGGTTGTTTCCAGATTCTGGCTATTACAAATAAAGCCATTATAAATATAGCTGAGCAAATGTCCTTGTATGGTTGAGCACATTTTGGGTATATGCCCAGGAGTGATATAGCTGGGTCTTTAGATAGAGCTATTCCCAATTTTCTGAGAAAGTGCCAGATTGATTTCCAAAGTGGTTGTACAAGTTTGCACTCCCACCAGCAATGGAGGAAGGTTCCCTTTTCGCCACATCCTTGTCAGCAAGCATTGTCACTTGAGTTTTTGATCTTAACCATTCTGATGGGTGTGAGATGGAATCCAGAGTTGTTTTGGTTTCCATTTCCCTGATGACTAAGGATGTTGATCATTTCTTTAAATGTTTCTCTGCCATTTGATATTTCTCTCTTGAGAATTCTCTGTTTAGCTTTGTGCCCCAATTTTAATTGGATTATTTGGTTTGTTGGTTTTTAATTTCTTGAGTTCTTTATATATTTAGGTTTTTAGCCATCTGTCAGATTAAGGGTTGGTGAAGATCTTTTCCCAGTCTGTAGGCTTTAGTTTTGTTCTGTTGACAGTGTCCATTGCTTTACAGAAGCTTTTCAGTTTCATAAGGTCTCATTTATCAATTTGTTGTTCTTAGAGCCTGTGCTGCTGTTGTTCTGTTCAGGAAGTTGTCTCCTGTGCCAATGAATTCAAGGCTCTTCCCCACTTTATCTTCCAAAAGGTTTAGTGTGTCTGGTTTTGCGTTGAGGTCATTGATACACTTGGACTTTAGTTTAGTCCAGGTGATGAATATGAATCTATTTGCATTTTCTACATGTAACATCAGCACCATTTGTTGAAGATTCTATTTTTTTCTTGAGTTAGTACTAAACTAACTAATTCTAGGATTTATGGATTCCTTGGGATTTTCTAAGAAAATTCTGTCATCTGAGAAGAGGTAAAAATTCAAGTATCCTTTATTTTATTTTATTTTATTTTATTTTATTTTATTTTATTTTATTT